GAGTTGGCATGTTCTCTAAACATTTGTGTGGGTTTCCTCCAGGTAATCTGGTGTCTCATTACAGTCCAAAGACATTCTGGTCAGTAAACTGGCTTTTGAAAAATTTACCCCTGGTGTGAATGTGTGTGTATTTGTGTGTGCGCCATGTGATGGTCTGCTCTCCCATCCAGGGTGTATCCCAACTTGTGCCAATGCTTCCCAGGCTAGGCTCCGGGCCATCATGACCCTAAACTGATGGGATGATCTGACAGGACCTAATATTTAACGGCAGTTTTGATTGCAACAATGGGGTTGCACTGGGGGGGGGAAACACAATTGTGATACACTGATTTTGATCAAACCTAGTCAGGCACAGGCTTGGGTTTGCTTACTTTATCCCCATCTTCTCCAGGCGGACCCTGAGGTCCAGCAGGGCCAGGCAGACCAACTGGACCTTGGATACCATCTCTGCCGGCAGGTCCTTGTGGACCTTTCTCACCCTACAGAACAATTAATACACATTAGGAAGAGAGTGTGAGCAGTGAGGATCTCTTTGCCCTGATTGATTCTAGGAACACAGAAAGTAAGATACTTAAGCAAACAAGTACAACATTCTGTTATTGCATTACTATCCTTGGGAAAAAGTTTAGCACATACAGGAATTCATACAGTATTATTATCAGATTAATAATACCATCACTATTGTTAAGAGAACCACAATATCCCTTATTATAAATACAATTGCATTAAACATTATACACTGTTTAAAATCTTCTTGGTAAAACTAAATTGCCTCATCTGCCTTATCAGAGCATGGTTAGGATAATGCTTGGATTCTTATAATGTGTCTTCTTCCAGCAACAAGGTAAAAAATTGTTATATAAGAAAAACTACGGGAATTCAATGTAGTCCGGACATTGTCAATTGTGATTCTTTCAGTTTTTTTTCAGTACCAAATACTGATTACTAGGAGATCGTGTTGCAGATTGCAAAACGAATCACGTAAAATGAAAACTGCAGCAGGCCATTGGGTTCTTTATTTCCAAAGGTCTCCACTCCACAAAGTTTCTACTGACCATAAACTGTAATATCCATCAATACTATGGATTACTTTGGCAAGTATTTGATGGCTCGTGTAACAGACATCAACATTGGTCTATGGCAATACGTAATTATCAGATGAACCAAGGTTCCTGTTATCTATTTAAGATGTAGTGCTAGGGTTGGGTGTTCTACAGAAGATCCTATTAATCTAATACTATCATTTTTACGGGTTGAGAAGGGCCCACATCTTTATAGTTGGCAGAAGTTCTATTTGTGTTTTGTCCGCACCATCTTATGGTATCTGACTTGTATCATTCTCTTGCTGTCATGGTGCAGCATTGTTTCATTATTTTATTAGTCCAAGATGAAATCCTGTTGATGATCCTTCAAGAATCGCCAATAAAGTCC